GATCTTTGCTCGTAATTCACAGAACAAGAAAAACAAAAAATTCATTCAAATGATAGCATTAGGCATCGGCAAGGCCATCAGAAGTCCCATCTTCCGAAATTCGCATAAAAAGCAAAATGAAGTAGATATAAATGCGGCTATTTCGAAAACTAGCTGCACTTAAAATAAAACATCATTTATTACTTGTTTGCAGTACATTTTTGCAAATCCTTTCTTCAGTTCTAAGCGCCCACTAATCATCTTTTTGCTCTGTTTTTGTACGGGAACCCTTTATAATGGGGTAAACATTTCGGGTGTCTGGGAGCACAGCTACGCAGGACACTGTTTCTTCACCCAAGACCGACTTTTCCCCACTGACACCACCTGTGCGTCCTCAACACTTCATTATTTACTTGACGCGGCGGGGAGGCTTTTCTTTACAACTACTTTCACACAACTTCAAAACGTCGTCTTAATTTCACTAGCCGTCTCAGTAGCTATAGACCGCGGCTCTAACTTGGACGGAATCATGGATTGTTAGGGAATATTTCATGACCATGTACCGCATGCCAATTGCCAATAGACGCCCAGCCTCCACTTTTCCATCGTGTTAAGCAACATTTGATGCGTGTGCACGTAAAATACTATCGGGAACACACATCCTACAGACCCAACTAAGCAACGCAAAGACACAAGACCTCACATATCACGCATTACATTTATTTCGACCGAGTTCGCTGGTGTAGTCCTGCACGAATCACGAATCGATCCAAATAGCAATGCTTTAGACTTACTGGTGCGAACATACGTTTTTGCGTGATTCCGTCCTGCAGAGAGATCGCCTCTAGCGGGTGAGATTGCGGTACTGCAATTTGAACATGATTTAGTGCACTTGCACGCTGAGCACATACCTAAGCAAAACTTCATTTTATGCTTCCTGGCTCGCGCATGAACAGCAAGCATCGCGCACTATTACACCAAGTCCATCTACGCAACACGTTTTCTCACGGCCCCGAAGGTTGCAAAGTGCACAAATCAACACAACTTTTGCTATACGTCCAAAAACTAAAGAATTAGCCATCATACCGTCACCCATTTTGCTGGGGAGTACCAAAATCGTTTATTTGCAGAAGATAAAATAGGAAATTTGGACGAAGCGGCACGAAATTCAATTGAAAATGCGTGAAACTTAATTAAAGCCGGTCTAAAATCTAGCCACAATGCTAAAAAATGCAACAAATGGGAGTAGAATACAGATTAAAACAGTAAATTCAACTGAAGACTACAAAATCAGGCAAAAACCACAAATGGGCAAAAATGCAGCTGTACGTGCAAAATTGTTTAAAGTTGTTATGTGGATCAAGAAATGTGAAATACAGGACTAAAAAATGCTACATTTAAGCAAAAGAAAGCTAAATAA